GGGGGCTAGGGCTGGTCTTGATCTCACTATTTTTCTTGGTTGAATTTAGTGGTGGCAATGGGTAGGTATTTTTGAGAGAAAGAAAGAATTTTTTGGTTTATATAGAAAGAGGGAAACACGATGAAGAAGAGGTGGGTGGGTAGCTTTTCTTGGAAAGTGATGGGTGGTTTCAGGGTATTTTAGTCTTTACATGGTGGGGAAAAGATTTCTCATTAAATGAGAAATATGTGATTTGACATAAAGGAGGAGAAAAGATTTCTTTCCCCCTTTATTCTGTCGCCAAAATCTTGTGCCCTAGTTTGGCCTTTTTCCTTCATGCATGCTTCAACTCCCTATGCTTCCATGTGTTCCTTGCTTGCCTACAATATGAAAGAAGAAAATAATAAAATAAAATGGATTAAAGCAGAAAATAACTTAACTTATTTATGTACAGAATTTAGATTTTCGTTGCCTAGGTAACGAATATTTGCTCAATTAAGTAAAGCAAACTCTTGGGTATCATGTGCCAACGATGCCGGTTTGTCGCGCATGACTGGGGATCCTTTGTACTCCTTGAGTCTCTGTCTGTTCACCTTAAAGATAGAACTATCGTTTTGGTTCTGGATTTCAATTGCTCCATTGTCACGGACTTGGTGAACAATGAATGGTCCTAACCATCTCGATTTTAGTTTGCCTGGGAATAACTTAAGGCGTGAATCATAGAGCAGTACTTGTTGTCCAGAATAAAATTGCCTCGGTAATATTTTTCTATCATGCCATCGTTTTGTTTTCTCCTTGTAAAGGCGGGTATTCTCGTATGCATGTGCTCTAAATTCATCCATATCGTTCAGCTCCAAGAGTCTTCTTTATCCAACAAGCTGAGCATCCATGTTTATCTTTTTGATGGCCCAATAAGCTTTATGTTCAAGTTCAACTGGTAAATGACATTCCTTCCCGTATACCAGCTTGAATGGGGACATTCCCAACGGTGTCTTAAATGTTGTGCAATAAACCTATAGTGCTTCATCTAGCTTCGACGACCAATCTTTTCGATTTGGGTTGACCACTTTCTCAATGATCTACTTGATTTCTCGGTTAGACACTTCATCTTGTCTATTCTTCTGAGGGTGATACGCCATAGCGATTCTATGTCGTACTCCATATCTTTGTAGTGCCTTGCCAATCAATTTATTGTCGAAATGTGTACCTTCATCGCTAATGATTGCTCGTGGTGTTCCAAAGTGGGTGAATATATTTTTGTGCATAAACTTCAACACCGTCTTGGAATCATTCTTAGGTGTTGCAATGGCTTCAACCCATTTTGATACGTAATCCACTGCCAAGAGAATGTACATATCTCCGAATGATGTTGGAAAAAGGTCCCATGAAATCTATTCCCCATACATCGAAAAGTTCGATTTCCAGAATGTTTTGCCATGGCATCTCATGCCGTTTCGAGTTGTTTCCTATTCGTTGGCATCTATCACATGACTTATAGAATTCATGTGCATCTTTGAACAGGGTTGGCCAATAAAATCCGGACTGAAGCACTTTTGTTGTTGTTCTCATTCCACCAAAATGCCCTCCATATGGTGACGAGTGGCATTGGCGTATGATATCTTGCTGTTATTCTTCTGGAATGCATCTTCATATTATTTGGTCTCTGCATTGCTTGAATAGAAATGGTTCGTCCCTAAAGTAATATCACACATCATGTAGAAATTTCCTTTTGCCCTGACTAGATAAATCAAGAGGAACAATACCACTAACAAGAAAATTAACTATGTCAGCATACCACAGTGTAGCCGTGACAAATAATATTTTCTCATCAGGGAAATCCTCTTTAATTTCTGTAATGTCAGGACAATCAGGTTTGTTATCTAGCCTAAACAAATGGTCTACCACTTGATTTTCTATACCTTTTTTATCCTTGATCTCTAAATCAAATTCTTGCAGTAATAATATCTACCGAATTAGTCTAGGCTTTGCATCTTTTTTACTAATCAGATATTTAATGGCTGAGTGATTTGCGTGCACAATTACCTTAGTGCCTATTAGATATGGCCTAAACTTATCGAATGCAAATACTACTACTAAGAGCTCTTTTTCAGCGGCGGTATAGTTCACTTGTGCATCATTAAGAGTTCGGCTTGCATAATAGATAACATGAAAAATTTTACTTTTTCGTTTACCTAGCACTGCTCCGACTGCATAGTCACTAGCATCGCACATGAGCTCAAATGGTTCGTTCCAGTCTGGTGGGATAACAATTGGAGCTACCGAAAGCTTTTACTTCAAATCTGTGAAGGCATTCAAACAATCATTAGTAAATTTAAATGGATGATTTTGTTGAAGAAAAAGACATAAGGGTTTAGAGATTTAAGAAAAGTCTTTTATGAACCGCCTGTAGAATCCTCCATGTCCAAGGAAACTGCGTACACCTCGCACATTAGTAGGTGGGGACAGATTTGCAATTACATCCACCTTAGCTTTGTCGACTTCGATGCCATGGCATGAAATTTTGTGACCCAACACTATTCCTTCGGTTACCATAAATGGCATTTTCCCCAATTCAATACTAGGTTGGCTTCTTCACATCGTTGTAACACCTTGGATAAATTGCCGAGACATCGGTCAAAGTCATCACCCGAAATGGAGCAGTCGTCCATAAATATTTCCATGCATTTTTCCACCATATCTGAAAAGATTGCCATCATGCATCTTTGGAATATAGCTGAAGCATTACATAGTCCAAACGACATTCGTCGAAATGCATAGGTACCATACGGGCATGTGAAAGTTGTCTTTTCTTGGTCCTCGGGTGTTATGGCAATTTGGTTATATCCCGAGTATCCATCGATAAAAGGGAGGGGAACATGATCCTTCTTTGTGGCTTTGTTGAGCTTCCTGTAGTACTGAATTGGTCGTGAGTCTTTGCTCTCCAATTCTCATGGTGAATTCTCCCTTTTCACAATCTATTAAAATTCTGTCGGTGGCTAAGAATGGGCGCCCCAAAATGATTGGTGCGTTTTCATCGGCTTCGCAATCTAAGATGAGAAAATCAACTGGAAATACAAATTTATCCACCTTTACTACAACGTCTTCAATTCTACCCTCGGGTCGCACATAAGACCGATCAGCCAGCTGCAGGATGACTGATGTGGGATGGGTGTGATATCCGTCTAGTTTCATGAATATGGACTTTGGTATCAAGTTTACACTTGATCCCAAATCAATAAGAGCTCGTCCTATGAAGTCATTACCAATGGAACATGGTATCACAAAGCTGCCAGGGTCTTTTTGCTTTGGTGGGAGTTTGCTCACTGATATAATGTGTATAATATAAGAATGGTGGGAGTTTGCTCACTGATATAATGTGTATAATATAAGAATGTGGACTATAGGTTATTTAATATTCAATATGTAACATATTAAACAACCTATTATCTAATGGTTCTTTCTCATTAAAATATTTAAAAGCATGAATGCACTTATGAGAAAGTACTTCCTTGAATTATTTTGCCTTTGCACGAGTGATAGGTCCTTTAGGCATGACTTCAGGATCCAATTGTGTAGTTGTGATCACATCATGTCCTTAGATACATGCCTTGAGCCTTTTTAATTACAAGAGTACATTAATCCTTGAGATTCCTTTTGTTTTGCATATAATGCAACATGTGTCAATGTATTCTCTACCTCTGCCTATTTTTCTTTCTTATACAAACTTGACTCTGATTCCACTTGTTTATTGTACAACTTTCAGTTGCTTCTTGAACCTAAAAAATAAAGTACAATTACTCTTGTTTAGGCTTTGTTAGATATGAGTTTGTACAACTTTGCTTGATTTTTTTCTATATATCTAAAGAATGAAATCCAGGTTGAAATGTGCATTACTGTGATCAATACAAAGCTACATTGACTGTATAAAAATCTATTTAATGTTTTCTCATAATGAACATTTGAAATTAATCAAATTCAAACCAAAAAAGTATAAAAATATACCTTTGTAATGTGATAAAGTGATAAAGTGATAAAGTTTGTAATGTTAGACACTGGATAATTTGAAAAAAAAAATAGACACTTATTTAAGAAAAACGGTATAGTTTGGACACTTATCTTATAATAAATCCTACAAGAAAATAAACTAACAAGTCAAAATAAAAATATCATCAAGGATTTGACCATATTAGAATTATCTATTCTAGTATCTATCATCCCATAAGATTTTGGGGTGATTTCTTGCTTAATGCTACTTATATAATCAATAAGCTTCCATATGTAGAATTAAATAATAATTCTCCACATAAAATGTTTTTCAATAAAATACCATCTTACTTGCATCATAAAAAATTTGGTTCTCTATGCTTTGTTTCTACTCTTAAAGCAAACATGGAAAAGCTTGTTGTTCGAGCATCATCTAATATTTTTCTAGGGTATGCTCCAGGGGTTAAAGGTTACAAAGTATATGTTCTTCAAACTCATTCTATAGTAGTTTCTCAAGATGTGATTTTTCATAAAAATATATATCAATTTCATTCTTAACAAATAACTGAATGTTAAAAACAAAAATGGCTAAACAAATGTTGAAATCTGAAAACTGAAGCATACGTATTATTGAACTAAAAATACGACCTTATGAAGTCTATTACAACCCAAAAATAGATAACATAAAATAGCTCACAAAACTACACTACTAGAATAACAAAAGAATCATATCCCTAGAAATAAGAGATTTTATTTTTACCAGACTTTTGACCTTTTCATTCCCTCCCTTAAACTAATTGTAGAGGAGACAAATTAGTTTAAATCTACAATTTCACATACTCCCATCATTTTCCTGAGCTTTTCAAATGCTTCTAACTTCAGTTGCTTGGTCATCAAATCAGGTACCTGCTCTTGTGTTGCATAATGAACTAATTCAACCTCATCGTTTCTTGTAAGATCCCTTAAGTGAAATTGTACATCAATGTACTTACTTCTCCCATGCATGATTGGATTTCAAGATAATTGATTAGTTGTTATCACACATAATGGTAGTACATCCCTCTTGTACATAGTCTCTTTAGTATCCTTCTCATCAGTATCCTTCTCATCCATATAGCTTGACAAGCACATGCTGCAGCACCTACGAATTCTGTCTCGATGGTAGACAAAGTAACTATGGGTTGTTTCTTTGATGACCATGAAACTACTCCTGAACTTAAGAGAAATACATACCTGGATGTGCTTTTACGATCCTCTACGTCTCCAGCATAATCACTAACGGTAAAACCCAACAATTCTTCTTCTTTCCCTCCCTTTTTATAAAGAATCCCATAGTTGGAAGTGCCATTCAAGTACCTTAAAATCCTTTTTCCAGCTTGTAAGTGAAGTTCAGTGGGTCTAGCCATGTACCTGCTAATTAGACTAGCACTAAACATTATATCCGAACGAGTTGTAGTGAGAAACATTAAGCTTCTCACTAATTGCTTGAAATAAGTTCCATCAACTAGGACCCCATCTTCATCTTTATTCATCTTGGTCCGTAGAACAATTGGAATATTTACTGGTTTGCTTTCAATCTTCCCAAAACGCTTCAATACTTCCCTAGTATATTTTCTTTGACAAAGAAAAATACCATTAGGTTCATGTAATACTTCAATACAGAGGAAAAATCTCATTTTTCCTAAATCACTCATATCAAAAACTTTCATCATGGAATTTTTAAAATCAATAATCATATCTTCATCATCACCAGTATAAATTAAATCATCCACATAAATACTCAATATCAAAATTTTATCTTCATCGCTTCCTTTGGTAAAGAAGGTTTGCTCATTTGGATACTTTTGGAACCCTTCATCTGAAAAATTGGTATCAATATGACTAAACCAAGCTTGTGGTGCTTGTCGTAGTCCGTATAAGGCCTTGTGTAATTTATACACCTAATGTTCACTTCCTTTCATACCACTTAGGTTGCTCCACATACACATACTCACTAAGTTTTCCTTGAAAAAAAAAAAGCTGTTTTGACGTCCAACTGATAGATCTTACAATTTCTTTGTGCTGCTATAGCCACTATAATCCGCGCCGTATCCATTCGTGCTACTGGGGAAAAATTATGTAAAATTTATTCCCTGTTGTTGAGAATACCCTTTGGCCACCAGATGTGCTTTATGCTTGTCAATCTCTCCTTGCTCGTTTAACTTAGTTTTATAGATCCATTTGACTTCAATGGTGTTGGCTCCAACTGGAAAATCAGTAAGGTCCCAAGTTTAGTTCTTCTCAATGGAGTTGATTTCTGAATCCATTGCCAATATCCACTTCGATGAGCATCTTCAGAGTTGATGGGGTCTTCGGGCGTAGTTAAGACTATGTTGAGCTTGTTTGCTTCTCCCGATAAATAATCACCGTTAACATAGTCCTCCATCCATGTAGGATCTCTTCTAGTTCTTCTTGGTCTTTCATTGGATTCATCAACACTACTCTCAGCTTCTTCAATAGGAGTTTTTTTCTGATTCTGATTCTTCTTTGATGTTATTGTCTTCATCGCCCCTTTCAAGTTCTATTAACACCTGCTCTTCATAGCTTGCATCCCACTTTCATTCTTTGTCTTCCTCAAAATCCTCATCTTTACAGGTCACCACCCTTTTAGCAACTGGATCGTACAATCCATAGCCCTTCCATTCTTTGTTGACTCCTAGAAGAACACATTCAAAACTCATATCGTCAAGTTTATTCCTCCTATCATCTGGAACATGAACATGTGCAAGACACCCAAAAACTAGAAAATGTTTTACCGAAGGCTTCACACCAGACCATGCCTCTTCAGGAATGATATCTTTGACAGCTACAGTAGGCCTTCTGTTCAACACATATATAATATAATTTACTGTCTCAGGCTAGAAGGTTTTTAGGATCTTCTTTTCTGAAAGGATCAAACGAACCAAATTCATTATTGTTCGATTCTTTCTCTCGGCTCCTCCATTTTATTGTAGAGTGTGAGAAATGGTCAATTGTCTTTGGATGCCGCAAGCTTTGCAATAATCATTGAACTCATTTGATTTGAATTCACCTCCTCTATGAGTGCGTGGACACTTGATATGCAAATCTATCTCATTCTCAAACAAACTTTTGAAACATTTAAATGCATTTAAAGCTTCTGATTTTTCATCTAGAAGCTAAACCCATGCTTATACTAAAATCGTCAATAAAGCATAAGAAATACCTCTTTATGCTGTTGGACATGGGAGTTATTGGTCCACATATATCTGCATGTATGAGTTGCAACTTCTGGCTTGCTCTCCATGAACTCTTCTCTGGAATAGATTCTCATTGTTGTTTCCCTTTTAAGCAATCAATACATACGTCAGTGTTGGAGGAGAGATGAGGTAGATCACGTATCATATTCTTAGATTGCAAGTTTGTTAAACCTTTATGGCTAAAATGACAATATCTTCGGTGCCATAAGTGAGAATATCCTTTGCATTTGTGTGAAACACATTGCCTCTTTTTTTGTGTCTAAGTCGTAAAAATGAACATTTGATTTGTTGTCATAGTAGTTTGAATAATCAAACCTTTGTCTGGATGATACATCTTACATATCCTTGCTTGAATGAGAATTGTAAGCCCTTTTTCTTGTAATTGTTCCATTCTCAGAAGGTTGTTTTTCAACTCTGGTACATAGAACACTCCCGTGATGAGATGGTTGATCCCATTTCTATGCAATCTAACACTTCCTCTCCCTTTTACCATCATTCTGGTATTATTCCCAAGCTTCACTTGTTCCCTAAAACATTCATCGAACTCACAGAACATCATTGCATTTCCACACGTGATTTAAGCAACCTAAGTCTAAGAACCATACCCCCTTTTGTTTGGCCTCGTGTTCTTCAATGTAAGCCATTACCAACATTTCCTCATGCTCATCTAACTCGACATAGGCCTCCTTTCCTCATGTAGGACATTCATTTTGAAAATGACCAAGCTTGTGACAACGATAGCATTGAATGGTGGCTTTGTTGAAAGTTTGATGTCCTCTTCCTCAGCCTCTTCCTCTAAACCTACTTCTGCCAAGTCCTCTCCCACCATTTCTTTCTTCCATGGTCACTTCAAATCATGTTCCTCTCCATTGCTCCTGTTGAACGTCTGCTCATGCACAAACAGAGAACTTTGCAATTCATAAATGGAAAGAGCACAAATATCATTAGACTCTTCGATTCTGACCACTACATAGTTGAATTTGTCTGTCAAGGTTTTGAGAATTTTTCTACAATGGTAACGTCTTTCATTTGTTCTCCATTTACCCTAATGTTATTGGCTACTGTCATTACACGAGAAAAATACTCATTAATGCTCCCTCCTATCTTTATCTCTAGAGTTTCAAACTCTCTTTTCAAAGCTTGAAGAACCGAGCGTTTCACTCTAGCACTCCCCTCAAACTTCTTCTTCATTGAGTCCCAGATTTTCTTGGAGGTACTCTTATCAGAATGGTTTCCAAAATGGTCCAGTCAATTGACTGGAAAAGGTTATTTTTCACTTTAAGATCTTTTGGTTTCGATTCCTCAAGCTTCTTTTGTAGCACCTCTGTCACAGCTGCTCCTTTAGGTTCCTCTATCCATGTCTCGATCAAGTTCCAAAACCCTTTGGACCTTAAAAAAATCTCCATAAGCATACTCCAATGATCATAATGATCATTGAAGCGTGGGATGGCTGGTTGAACAAAGGCTCCTGCTTAATTTGTCATCTCTCACAAAAAGAAAACTCTCTTGTTTTGCAACTGAAAAAACAAAAAGTTTCAGTTTCAATCTGGCTCTTGATACCAGAATGTTAAAAACAAAAATGGCTAAAAAATGTTGAAATATGAAAGCTGCAGGATACGTGTTATTGAACTTAAAACTCGACTTTATATAGACGATTACAACCCAAAAATAGAAAACATAAAATAGGTCACGAAACTACACTACTGGAATAACAAAAGAATCATATCCCCAGAAATAAGGGATTTTATTTTTACTAGACTTTTGACCCTTTCACTAATTCACTCATTGATCCTTTTCATTATGTTTCTTTACCAACTATGATTCCTGATTCTTTGAATTCGTATGACACTGAGGTTCATGATGCACTTCAGGATGTTTCTAAATTCTCTCATACTGGTCAAAATAATACACATGGTTGTAGTGCTCCAAATGAATCAAATGCTTATGCCATATCTCTTGAGAACACATTCCTAGCTAATCAAGATATTTATTTTAGACCATAATCAACTTTAAATTGTCATGATGGACAAGTTCCACAAAATAACTCTCTTGCTTGCATGGAAAGAGTGTCTAGACGATCGACCAGGATTATTTAGAAACATTTTTATCTTCAGAATTACTATTACAACAATACATATTCTACATGTGTTTACCCATTGAAGCTTATGTCTTCGCCTCTGAACTCTCTCCTTATGAAAGTTCTATTGAAAACGTTTCTGCTTCAATATGAGCCATCTTTTTATCACCAGAAAGTAAAGTATCCATAGTGGAGAGCTGCTATGCATGATGAGTTAAAGGCTATAGATGATTTTCAAACTTGGACAAGTAAATAAAATAAAGTACAAGGTTGATGGCACAATCGATAAGTATAAGTCTCAGTTAGTAGCAAGAGGTTTCACTCAAATTGAAGGTGTTGATTAAAGAAACCTTTCACCTGTTGCTAAGATGAGCACTTTTAAAATTCTGCTTGTTTTGGCTGCTGCAAATAATTGACATCTTCAGTTAGATGTTAACAATGCTTTTTTGAATGGGAAACTTAATGAAAATGTATACATGAATCCGCCTCTTGAATATTATTTAAATGGTTCAAGGAACATGGTGTGCAAGTTAAATAAATCCATTTATGGTTTAAAAAAAGCGTGTAGGTAGTAGTTTCATGATTTCTCTCAGGTCGTTATCAAGTTTGGTTTTTTACAATCTCCATCAGAACATTACTAAAGGTTATGGGTACAACTTTGTAGCACTCGTGGTTTATGTAGACGACATAGTTCTTGCAAGGAAGAACTTGGAGCAATTAAATGACGTTCATACTTTTCTACAACAGCATTTTAAGTCAAAGGTTCTAGGTCCTTTGAAATATTTCCTTGGATTTGAAATAGGGATGGGCACGGGTGGGGCGTGGGTATTTTTTTTTTTGCCTCGATTCCAACCTAAAAATATATTCTCTAAAATTGACCTTGTTCCTCTCCGATAAATTTTAGATTTTCTTTCGGCTCGACTCCATCTCAAATTTTAGATTAAAACCTTAACCCCGACCCAATCTGAATATATTAATATTTTAAAATAATATATTTTATAATAAGATATTTATAATTATTTGTTTTTTATATTTAAAAAATATTAAAATAATATATTTTATGATAATTTTACATTTTTAATAATTAAAGAATATATTTTAAAAATATAAAAATAGAATTCCCTATAATTTTAAATATAATATAAATAAAAAGATAAAATAATAATATATAGCGAGTCAGGTCGGGATCGATTTTTTACCTTAAACTCGGCCTTGCTCCCACCCCAAAATTATATACCATATAACCCGCCTCGATTTTTAAAAAACTGCCCATATAGGATCGAGTCAGCTCGGGACCCATCGAGTTCAAATATTTTGACCATCCCTAATTTGAAATTACTCGTAATATTACGGGGATCTCTTTGTCACAAAGATATTATTCATCACGGCTTTTGGAAGACACTGGTACACTTGGTAAAAAAAACCCGCTAATTTACCGATTGTTCCATCTCATAAATTGAGCATTCATGAAGGTGAGTTGTATGATCCTAAACAATATCAAGGTCTGATTGGGAGGTTATTATATCTAACCCATGCGAGACTTGACATCACATGTCGTTTATCGTCTCCTATCTTATGTTAAGAAAACTCAGGGTCCCGGTCAATTCTTTTCAGCAAGCAACAATTTGTAACTCAGTACTTTTGTGGACGCTGATTACAGTTCATGTCCTGACACTCGTCGATCCATCACTGGTTATTGTACATATATTGGTGATTGATTCATTTCATGGAAATATAAAAAACAATAAACGGTGAGTCGTTCATCCTGCGATGCAAAATATTGAGCAATGGCTTCAACTACTTGTGAGCTAGTATGGATTGCAGCTCTTCTTTCCACGTTTTTTCTGAACGCTTCTCTTTTTTGTGATAACCAGTCAGCCATTTATCTAGCTTCCAATCAAATTTTTCATGAACGTAACAAATACATTGAAGTTGTTGTCACTTTATACATGGTTATAGTTGGAATTATAAAACTCTTCCACGTTCGGTCTGCTAATCAGTTAGTAGAAATTTTCACTAAACCGTTTTCACCAAATTTTATAAAGTTCATGGTCAAACTGGGACTTCTTGACATTCGTTAGTCTCCATCTTGTGGTGATGTTATAACTAATATTTTAGTAGGATAATTCAAGTTAGTTAGAGTTAATTAGGTTTTATCAGTTTATATATATAAGGAAGTTTTATTTGATTGATTCAGTTCTTTTTAAACTTAGTAAGTTTGATAATAAAGAAGAATTTTTCCACTTCTTTTACAGTTCTCAGCAGCAGACATTAAATTACACAAGTAATTGATTTGGTAAAACTTATTGTACGGTAGATATGTTGATTGATCTATTTTCAAAAGAAAAATTATTTTTTTTTCATTTTTCTTGTTTATTCACCCCATAATTATATAAGTTGTTAATATTTTAATATATGAAAGTTTGAAACCAAGCTGAAAATGTCTAATTGGGCTGTTTTTTTTAAAGAATCATCACTTGGTTTTTCGTCAAATAAGTCACTCCAGATTTTATTTTGCAATCTACAGCAAATGCGACAATACTGAGGAATTTCGTCACCTCGACGTGACGAGTTTCGTTGGATATATTATTTTAATTATCCTAGTTAAGTGGGCCACATGTGAGTCGTTATTTTTAATATATTTAACGGGACTCATCACGTCGACATGATAAGTCCCTTAAGAAATTATTTTAAAATTCATTAAATAGTTAAAAAAAAGTAAGAGAGAGAGATCTCGTCATGTCGAGGTGACGAGTTTCACTAGAATTTTAAAAAAATAGCCGTTGGACAACGGTCACTTCCCAACAGTCACCATGGAACTCGTCACATCGTGGTGACGAGTTCACTCAGAATTTTTGAAAAAGTATAGTTGTTTATATACGTTGTGATTGAGGTTATAAATAGAGGTTTGGGTTTTAACATTGTTATTATCTATTGTTACAAAAAAATTGAGAAAAAATCATAGTTTCTCAGGAGTTCCCAAAAAATGTCTACTCGAGAAGAAATATTACACTTTGATGATTTCCATATTTCTTCGTTTGAACTCTGTCCGAAAGAAGAACGGGGCATTCATTAACGAGGAATGACACTAAGAGATTTGCACCAACGGATTATTATTATATATCTACAACAATCCAACTTGTATCCAACCACATTTCTGTGTAGTTTTAAGGTGAACCCGACATTGATTTTGGCCATCGTGAGGCAAAAATGATGATAACCGATTCGATATTATTCAAGAAGTTTTGGGAAGGATGCCACCACCTGAGGTCTTAGACTAGTATCGAATATGGATCACTTCATTGGAGTTCGAATTTCAAGTGACGAACGACTCTACCGAGGAAAAGGTCATATTTGCAACCTGAGCGTATCATCTCCAATTGATTGGAGGGATATATTATTACTGGATAAATCTGGTAATTTTGGGCACACTTAGTATCTTCATATATTGAATAATTTAACTAAGTGTCACAATACTTGTTGGGGCTAAGTGATTTTTTCATTTTTATATCGATAAATTTGTAAGGATACAATTGTCGAAAGGGGTAAAAAAGTCGATGTAATGGGTTGTCTAGTATTGCTATAATCTTGGGCATTATATCGGTTCCTATTTTGTACGCCAATTACACCAGCCCCGATTAAGTTTCCTCTAGCTGCAAGGTAAGTTTTTTAAATTTGATTTTTAACTAAATTTACACCAATTTATTTTTTATCTGTTTTAATTTTTTTTTATTTTTAGATGGAACCATAAA